CACACCCAGCCATGGAGGACTCAAGGACCCACTTCAGCAAGGTAGTATGGGAGTTGGCTCGCAGTTCCATCTGCCTTGCTACTATTTCGTTTACAGCAGTGGGTATATAGCCCTATTCCTCAAGTAACTAGCTGTGACATAGCCCTGGAAGTCGATTTGTGGTTCCTCTTCTCTGTCACAAGCATTCAGCAATCCCCATCTTCTTCCCATTCCCAGTACTGGGGCAGCCCATGCCCATCACTGCCTTGACAGTGTCTCCAAAAGACTTAGTTTAGCAAGCCTGTCTGGGGCATCTGTTAGGTTTTTGGCAAGCTCTGCACCTGAGGGCGGATGCTGCAAAGATGAATAAAGACTCAGAGACACAATCAGGTGCTTACTGTGAAGGCACAAATTGCCATGTGTATTCCTTTGGTCACCAGAACAAATCCCCACAAACTCAGTGGCTTATAGCAAAAGAAATGTAGAGGTCAAAAGTCTGAAATCAAGGCATCAGCAGGGCCTCTCTCCAGCCAAAGGATCGATGGGAAGACCCTTGACTGCCTCTTCCAGTCCCTGGCCACCCCTGGCAACTCCTGGTGTTCCTTGGCTCATAGCAGTATCACACCAGTCCCTGCTTCTGTCGTCACATAACCTTCCTCTCTGTGAGTCTCTGTGTCCTCTCTTATAACAACACTTGTCACTGGATTTAAATCCGGTATGATCACATCTCGAGATCCTTACCTAACTGCATTTTCAAAGACCCTCTTTCCAAATAAGGTCACATTCCAAAGTCCCTGATGGACATGAATTCTGGGAAACACTGAACAGTGAAAGCACAAAGGAGCAGTTAATTTATAACAAGGGCTGGTGGAAGGCTTCATGGAGGAAGTGGCATTTGAGTGAGCTTTGAAGATGGTTCACAGTTGCAACCAGAATTGTGAAAGGACAATCCAGGTGCAAGAAACCATGTGATCAAAGACTACACCCGGAGAGAGGGGCAGAAGGGAAGCAAGAAAAGATTGTAGATTGGGATGAGAGCGTTTATATCTCATACTCTGAGTCAGGTCAGTACTGTGAGAA